GTTGTCGGTTGCACCCAGCACAACAGTGCCCTCCAGCGAGGGCTTTTGGACAATTCCAAAAAAAAAAACCCCCCCTTTTTCTGAAACTTGGGGGGGGGAGATTAATTGTGAATTATACACAGTTCTGGGACTGATTTGGCAATGGTACAGTCAGGAGTGAGCTTAATCCTGGCCTGCCTTCCCTTTCTTCTCCTCCTGTGAACAACCTCCTCTGATTGGGATGCTAATGACCCCAAGGGTTCCCAGTCTCCCCCCAGCCCCCCTCAGGCCAAGTGGCTGCCCTGGAGGATCACAGACTGCGAGGACTCAATCCCATCTCCAAGGTGGATTTATCTTTCCGCCCTGAGGATAACACCATGGTCTTAATGGAGGTGCCACCACTTTATCCTCAAAGCCAGATTCCCTTTGTCTCGCCTTCATTAGCTGAATGTCATTCCCCTCTTCCTTCAGCAGGTTATTAAATAAATCCCTAGACACAAGGGGGGGAGAGGATCGTCGGCAGGCCCAATCCTGCCACAGCCCAAGCTATCTGGGAGGACAGAGCTGGGCCAGAATGTGGTCCCTGCCCCCAGAAAACCAGGTGTCCTTGCAGAGCCACCGGAGACACCTGGGACAGCCTGCCGTGGATGGGCACAAAGGAAGATCCTCTCCTGGTGGATGGCTCTTCCCAAGCACAGAGCACACCTCGGGGGGCTGTGGGTCTCACCTGTGTTTTGCCCTGAGCTGGAGGCCTGCTGGGAGTCCAAGCTGCCTGCGCTAGTACCCTTTGGCCCAGTCGCTCTGTCCGAACTCAAGAACCCCTCCTCTAGGGCTTGTCTAGCATCCTGTGCTTATTCTTGGGCCAGAGTTGCCAGGATGCTGCAGGAGACAAGGAAGAAGGAAGTGTGAAAGGACAGAGCTCTTCTGCCTCAAAGCATGTTCTAGGTTAGTGTGGAAACCAGCTTTAAGAATCAGTAACTCAGAACAAAACGAGGAGGGAAAACTAAGGCCACACACATAAGAACACAGGACCAGCTCTGCTAGTGGTGTAGGAAGATGGAAGCCATGGAAGATGCATCATTGTGATCCTCATTTTACAGATCTAGGACCAAATCTAGGCCTCCTGGAGCATGTAGCAAGCAAAATGGTGACTGGAGCTCTTCTTAAACTACGTTAGGAGTGAAGACCCTAAGGACAATCTTGTTGGATCAGGCCAAGGATCGTCCGTGTTCAGCATGTTATTTCTCCCAAGGGCCAACCAAATGCCTCTGAGAGGCTCCCCAGCAGGAGACAGAGGCCTTCCCCTCTCTTGCAGCTGCCCCCCTGCAACTGGTATTTGGAGGGGTGCTGTCCCCAACCTGGTGGTACTATGGAGTCTTCAAGACTAATAGCCC